TAATAATAATAATAATAATAATAATAATAATAATAATAATAATAATAATAATAATAATAATAATAATAATAATAATAATAATAATAATAATAATAATAATAATAATAATAATAATAGTAATAATAATAATAATAATAATAAATCTCTTTTCTGGAAATTATCTATGCCAGTCAATCTAAGTATGACATTTTATCTTGCTATCACTACGGTATTTTTCTGAATGATAAGGAAAAATGGAAAAGAAAACGGAATCAAATCTAATAAAAAGAAAGGACGAATTAATTGAAAGAAGATAAAGGCTTGAAAAAAAATTATCACTGTTATACATTTTGCTATTTAACATTCATTAAATCAAATTTATCAGATGAGAATTTTCAAACCTTAAAAATTAAATCTTGAACTTAAAGTGAAAAAACAAAAAAATAGTTAATAGAATAATTTCCTTTTCATTCGATCAAATTTATTAGATCATCATTTAACAAACATAACATTCATTAGGTCAAACTTATTGGATTGCAATTTTTAAAACCTTGCAAGCTAATTCATGAACCCAAAATGAAAAAAAAAATTAATTAAAATAATTTGTTCCGGCCATTCTTTCTAATTCGTTATAATCATCACTATTATTAATAAATTTTAATATTATCAAGTAACAAACTTTAGTTTCTTAAAAATAAATATTTCACAAAATTGTGGTAAAAAAAATTTGACAAAAAAGAAAAGCTAAAAAATGAAATTATCAAACGAACCGTCACGATTTATTAAATTAAAAGGTCGCATCATAGCATAACTGAAATGCTGTGGATCGGCGCATTGTTCAATATCTTGCGAATATTGCTAAATTTTAAATGTTTAATGAGAAAGAAATTAAATACTGAAAAAATTGTACTTAAATTTTCGAAATTTCCTTTTTTTTCAAACCCTTTTTTTCATTTTTTCATATTTTTTTTTGCTATTATATTCACTTATATCCCATCCTATTCAAATTATTCCGTTATTTTAACAATGAAGTTTAGTTTCTTTTAATTAGACTTTTAATTAAATTCCATATCTAATTGAGAATTTTTCACTAAACCATTTGAATATTGATATGAAAGAGGCTAAGGTAAATATTACCATATCAATATTGATAATAATAATTGATAATAATGATTTGGTTTGGTAGAACATACATTTTCTCGTGCCCAATGGGATTGTCGATTTTGTCTCCATAACTCCCAAATTAAATCAACAAATGAATGAAGACCATAAAAGACGGGGTCATTTGAAGACTGTTCCGGTGGTTCCATATGTCCACCAACCCAAAGATGGACAAATGAATGTGTAAATTCAATGGCAGAATATGCTGGTGGATATGGACAACCTAAAAGAATTAAACCAAATTTTTATTTTAAAATTATTTTTATACGTGAAATTTTTATTCAATAAATATGATTTTTAAAAAAAACGCAATAACTAAATATTGCACAAATTTCATTCTAATAATCAAAATTTGAAAATTTAATCGCATAATAGATAATAAAATACTTATAAATTAATTTTTTGATTAATTTCTTTGGTAAAAATTTGATTTTTATTTACTAAGCCATTTAAGGATCCCATAGTATATTTCATATAACTATCCGTAAAACTGCTTATTATTTATCATTTTATCAAATCTTTGAATCATTGTACACGATGCTCAATTGATATTAATTAAAATGAAAGAAATTAAAAAATTAAAAATTCCGCTTCAGAAGAAATTTGGAAATTGTTAAAATATTTCTTATAAAATAATCAGAATTTTTAAGTTTAATTTAGAAATAGATATAAAACTGAGTCTATTTTAGTTATAAATTTGATTATTATTCATTATTAACCTATCATAAGCAATAATTTACTAAAATGTAGATATAATTCCTTTTTTTTTTAAAAAAAATTATAAACATACCATCCAATGGTGCTGTGTAAGCCATAATTTGTTCAACTGATACCTGTGATAAGATCTCGGCAATATCATATTCAGTAAATAATTTCCCTTTTTCACCAAGTGCTCTAAAAATTTCAAATTTTTTCGATTTAGAATTTAAAAAAAAACTCAGATAAATATGCATTCATCAGAATTTTTTGCATTTTTTTTTTTTTTAACTAAAAATTCATTCAAATTCAACTTTAATTTCTCTCAAATAGTGCAAGATAATTTGATGTCAAGTTGATTTTGAGGCTTCAATATCGTTGGAATTAAAAAACGAATAATTAAAATTGAATTCAACCAAATTTAATTAATTACTTAACAAAATATTGCTAGTTATACCGTATAATAGCTGTTCTACCATCGATAGTATTCCAATAAGCAAACGGTCCGGTAACTACATTACCAAATTGATCCGTTTCACCTATGAAATATGGACTAAAAAAATGGAATCTCTTGGATCCGGCAAATAATGATCTAAAACGGAATCCCAATATGGTAGTGATACTTGTGGATCAATTAAACGAAGCGCAATTTCAAATCTGAAATTTATTTCCATTTAAAATTTGCAAAATTCAAACATTTGCGAAATAATTCCATCTCTTGGAATAAAGATTTTAATCCAAAATTATACCGTTTTAAAAATTCACGATGCCAAGGCAAAAAACCAGGTCCTGAATGTGCACCACTACCTTGACCTACCTGCAATATTTAGGATGAACCTAATTATTGAAATTTGTACTATTGTTAGTATCAAGAGTTGAAATTTTACATTATATCATGCTTAGCAACAAACAAGATAAGCAAAATGTGATTGAATAAAGGAATAATATTGTTAATTTTAAAGTAATCAAAAATTTAAGCATAACTTTTAATCATACCAATTATAACATTTTTAATCATAATCAAAATTTGAACTTTAAAATTTGAAATTTAAAACTTGAATTGTAATTTGAAAACTGACCATTTGATGTTCAAAACTCATACGATCATATTCACCGCTACGTTTTAACATTGTTATTGCATTGAAAAATCTTAAACGTTCATCCTCACTAAGCATTCGATATTCTTTACGATATGCCATGGTCAAAAGTTGACCATCTGGTAGTATACATTGATTCTGTGGTCCTATTGAACCCTTAAAAGATTTACATTTTTTCCTTTATTAATTTCCAATATTAATTTCCAATTTTTTTTATTAATTAATTTCAATTTTGTAATATATATATGCATAAAATTAAATTTTGAAATGTCAACAAAATTGTCATAAATTTTCGTTAAAGAATTTAAAAATTTTAAATTAATGAGCAAAGAAATAAAGAAATAATTTATTATACATATATATATATATATATATATGTAATTATTTATGTCGTAGAAAATTTAAAGAAATAAATTAGTAAAAAATTGACGAAAAATAGGTAATGAATTTCAACAAATAATTAAATTCAGGTGATGAATTTTAATAAATAATTAAATTTATTTACCTGAAAAAATGGACATAAGCATGTAATCGTCATGCAATCATACGGATGACTAGCTATTTGACCTCTTGCATATGGATCCAACGGTGCTGGTTGAAGAAAATGTGGCGGTGTTGGTGGAAGTCTTTGATTTGTTGCCGATTGACGCCTTGATTTATGAGCCATTTGTTGCAACTCAAATAAATTGTTAATTTAGTGTCATCACAATTTTAATTTATTTCCTCATCAAAAAATAATGAATCAAATTTTGCAACAGAAATTTTATTTTCCAAGAAAAAAAAGTTTCACTTTTAAGAAATTTTAATTTCTCATATTTTATGTCCAAATGAAAAAAAAAAAAAAAAAATTCGAAGTTAGTCGAAAATGTAAATAAATCAAAGAAACTTTATAATTCAACAAAAAAAAGTAAAATGGAAGAAAAAGATATTATGAAAGTAAATGCTAAGTTGTTTAAATAATTTTTTTAAAAAAAAAGCGAAAAATTAAATTAAAAATATTAAGTAGTTAAAAATTAAAAAAAAAAAACAGATAATAATTGCTTAAATATCTTACCATTCGACATACACGTTGCGCTTCTGGTGTTGGCGCTTCATCGCAATTTTGCAGAAATTGCAATTGTTGACCAAATGTCACAGCAGTAAACAAATATGTCGCAATATAGGGAAATAATTCCATTTGCTCAAAAAAAGAAAAAAAATAAAAAAAATTTATAAAATTTTGTTTTCTTGTAGTTTTATGCATATCTGCATGCATAGAGACATATGCATGCATACATACATGCATGCATATGTTTGTTTACAGAAATAGTCGTCAAATTTACTTCCCAAATCAAAGTAATATTTTAGTTTCATAACTAAAATAATAAATGTTCATCAAAAATTATTACTGTACTTTTTTCTGCTTCCTTTGAAATTTTCAAAATATTTTAAAATCTACCAAAAGACATATCAAAATTGGAAAACAAAAACTTTTCAATATCTTCTTCTGTCAAAAAAATAAATAAATAAATGAATACTGAAAAGACAATTTTAATTTAATGGAATTTTTTTTTTTCTACCAGATCTTCCTTTTTCAAATAAGCAAAAATAAAAATTCAAATTAAAGCAAATTAAAATCTAACCAAAATTTAGGTTGAGAATTTTTTATTTGGAATTAAAAATGTGAAGTGAAATATTAAATTATAATGAAGTGAAATTTTTAGTTATAAAATGAATGAATTAAAACAAATATTTTATCACCATAAAATTTCTCAATCCTTATTTTCCGATATTTTAAACTTTTTTTTCTTTTTTGAAGTAAAAAGTTGAATTTCTATTCTTGTCTGGCATTAAAATTTCTTAAAACATAACTCCAAACATTGCCTCAATCAAAATACTTAATTTTTGAGTTTTCCAAATTTTTTTTACTTTTAAGTTTGAATTTTAAATTTTTATTTTTTTAACTTCTTAAACTATTTAAACCAAATAAAAAAATAATGTAATTTTTCTTAGACAAAAAGGAATCAAACTAAAATGAAATTTAAAAAAAAAACGAATAATCTTTGAGAGGTAGAAACATTAAAGGAGGTCAATTGAAAAAGTCATTCAACTACATAAACGATGACCTTGTATGCTTTTTTTTTTTCGTTACAAATCAAATCAACGTATTCTTTTGACATTTTCTCAGTTCAGTATATTTACAAGAAAATTTAATTTTTTTTTTTTAAATTTTCCAATTTTTCAGAATATTCATAGCAATCATTTTAATAATTGTCATTTACGCATTAATGTTATCATTACTAATGTACACAATAGTTAAGGATAGCAATATTGATTGATTTTCATGATTATACAAATTATTTTACATCAAAAATTAATTCGAAAAAATTTATCGTTAATATAAAGTAGCATTGTTTTTTTAGTTGTAGAAAATTTATCAACGATGCATGGTAAAAGCTATTTTAATTTTCTTTTATTTTTAATTTGTTTAATTTTTAAAATTAAACTAAATGGTTCCGATCCTTTTCTTTTTCTCAAATTCGAAATGATTTTTCATGATAGCACAATTATGAATCATTTCAAGATAATCGGATTGTATTTATTAATCGACAAAAATTTACTTCGATATATGGTTATATCATAATTAAAAATTTGATTATATTAAATATTTTGGAAAAATAACAATGAGAAATTTGAACATTTGTTTTTAATTTTATTACCATAAAGTTTTTGAAAAAAAAAAAAAACAAAAGCTTACTATGATCGATTTATTATTTCATCTCATTCATCAATATAGAAATTCCTTCTAGACTTATTGTCAACAACAATTTAATTTACAAATTAATTATATTTGACTAATTAATAGGAAAAAAAAACAAGAGAATGAAAGAAATTGTCCTAAAATTAAGCTAAAGCATTCCTATCTTTAATTTAAAACATACTTTGGACTTTTTTTTTTACATTCTTTTCATCAATTAATTTATGATAAAAACTGTCACATTTGAAGTTAGCTGACTGATCTTTTTCCTTTTAACTTTTTTTTTTTAAAAAAAAAAAAAAACGAAGAAAAAGAAAAAATGAAAGGAAAATAGAAGAGAGAAGTTGGTAAAAGGCATTTCATAATTGATCTTGAAAGATAGCAATAAAGTATAAATTTGAAAATGTATTTTTTCCTTTCTTTTTCATCTTCCATTAATTCATATTTCATTTTTTAAAAGTTATACCGTAAGCTAATTTATTAAAAGATTAGCTATGCATAAATTAGAAATGAATTACACTTTGCATTAACTAAATAAAAAATTCATTTGATCATTTATTTTTTTTTAATAAAAATGAATCAAAAAAAGAATAGAATATATAAATAAGTTAGGCATTGTAAAATTTTAAAATCTCGACAAATTGTTATCAAAAATTTATAAAATTCACGAAAATGTGGGATGAGGAAAGAGTTCGAATTTTAGTGATGACGAAATTTTAATTTTGAAATTTTAATTTTAAAATTTTAAACAGCGTAACATTTTTGCATGTTTTATATGCTTACAAATAATGCATCGTTGGTTTGGAATAGAATGAAAATTGCTATTTTAAAAATAAGAAAGAAAAAAAAATATTGGGAATAGAGAAATTCATCCATCCTTAGTATTTCATCAAAAAAAAAAAATAAACATTAATATTTCACAAATATATATAATATGGATGATAGTTAAATTTATTAAAATTAAAAAAAAAGCTTATAAAATATATTAAAATTAAAAATAAATTTTTTTATACGAAAGGAAAAAAGTCATATCAATCGGGTGAAAAAAAAATTTTTGATTTTATATTATCAAATAACGAAATATTTTCCCATTGATAATTGTTTATCAAATTTTGATTAATAATTATTTATTAAAAAAATTAATAATTGTTTATTCAAATTAGCTAATTTATTAAATTAATCATGGCAGTGAAAAAAAAGAGGAAGTGAAATTTATGAAATAAATATTAAGTGAAAAGTTGAAGCATAAGAAAAGATCTGAAATGAAATAATGCTTGAATGAGTAAATGTTTGAATTTTCACTGATTTAACCTTTAAGCCGGTTACTTTGATTACAACAATTTCTTAACAGGTTTTCTCGGGGTGCAGGATTTGAGAAAATAAAATAGCAGGAAGAAGAAGATGACGACGAAGAAGGAGAAGAAGAAGAAGAAATGAATCCTTGGTTAAAACTTTTACGTTTAACAATCATTATTTTATGTTATTTGATATATTAACAAATTTTGTTTGTTTATTTTTTTTGTTTTTTGTTTCTTTTAATTTTAAACAACTTCACACAAATATGCTTAAAAAGTGCGTTTTTTATTTCATCTAATGCTTTTTAAAAAAAAAAAAGAAAAATTAGAAAATTTTAAACCTAAATTTTTAATTTGACCTTTAATTTTGAATTTTGTTAATCGATTTTTTAGTCACAAAATTTACCTGCATTTGTTTAAGCATTAGAAAAAACGAAACTAGTGATAGATAAATTAAAATATCCTCAAATTAATTTTTTCATAATGGCAATTTTCCCGGCAAATGTTAGTTTTGCAAATGTATGAAAGGTCATTATCATTTTCTGACCTTATACATATTCCGGTTTCACTCAGGCTTTTTTTTTGCTTGAAGCTTACATTACTACTTTACAATTGAATAATTTTCGTTTCCAATTTTATTTAAATATTTATTGAACTTTTTCAATTACGGATAAAATTGGAAATTTTTAAGAAAATTTGGTGACAGTGATATTTTACCGGTTTTAAGCTTTCAGGTCAAATATCAAATTAATTGATTTTCTGGTACTATTACATGATGCTGTTAGAATAGGATATTATTCGATTTAGAATGAATGAAATTTCTGGAATTTCTGGAAGAAGATCTTCCGGATTTTCCAAAACTTTTGCATAATTATTTACGTTAATGGCTAAAAATTTCTGGACAGTATTTTTTTTTTTCAAAAAAATTCCTCCATGTAATGAAATATTTTCTTTTCATGATTAAATCCGGAAATTTCTTTTAATTTCTTAATTGATTCATTAATTACCTTATATGGTTTTATATTGTCAAATTTATTTGTTATATTAATGGTGACATTTTCTTTTTGCTGATATATATTGAATTTCTGTGTATTTCAATGAATTCATCAAATTTTTCCTTTCCTATATTCCATTCTGTTAAATTAATAACTTGTAATTAACTTTAAGTTCTATACTTTTCTATAATTACCTTCTTGATAATTAGATTTTATAAAACGAAAAAGAAATTTTTTATATTTTAAAAATTTTTTCTCTATTACAATAAATGGTTCATTGCAGTAATAAATGAAATATTTGAAAAAATTAGTACATGAAAATAAATTTTTGAAGTTTTCATTCCTTGATGAAAATTTTTTTTTCTTTGCTTTCAATGCTTAAAGCTAATAGCAAACCATGAACTATGACCTTGATGACCTTGGCTTAAAGGATGCCTATTTCTTAAATTTGATATTAAGAAATATGAAGCATATAATGAAACGAAAAGATAATATTATAACAAAAAATTGCACCTATAATTACAATGAATGAAATACCATTGAATGAATAAATATATTTTGGTGGCAAATAAATTTAATAGTAAACATGTAATGATAGTAAACTGATAGTATAGTGATAGTAAAGTGAAATTATAGTGATAGTGATAGCGAAATGACGACAACAAAGTGATAGCAAAATGATATTAGGGTGACAGTGAAATGATAGTAAGGTAATGACAGAGTGATAATGAACTGATGGTGAAGTGATAGTAAAGTGATAACAAAATGATAGTAAATAACAAGCATAGAACTCAATCTTAAATCTGAAGTATGAAATATTTGTTTTCTAAAATAACTAATGCAATATTAAATTAATAATTAACTCAGACTTTCCAACATTAGCATACTGTAATCGGATATATTGAGTAATAAAATAGAATTAGGAGTTTGGATGAATTATTGACCTTTAAGCTTGTTCTTGTTTTACATTTTAGATGCTCATCGAAAAAACCGGTTTATAAATGATGTTATCATATCAATATTAATGCATTATCACAAATATAAACTGAATGATGAGAGGAATAGTTGAAAAAGTGTATGATAATTTCTCAAATGATATATTTTAAGTGTTAATTATAAAGTAAAAATTTATATTTGTTAATTAATTAATTAATGGAAAAGGTATGAGCAAGGTGAAATGAATAAAATTGTAAAAGAATGAAGTATTTAAATTAAACAATTAATTACTCATGTAATTAATGAAGCCAAAAGAAGAAAAGGTATGAAATACTTTCTTATATAAAATCAAAATACTAAAATTGTTAGAGAACTAACAAAGTATTGAAAGTGTGAAAAAAAAAATTCTATTCCTATCTTATCATTAATTATTACAATGATAAAAAAAAAATCATGTACTGATAACAATTAATAGCTTATTATTCCTGACATTAACGAATGACATTTGATAAAGATAACAGTGATAATAAATTTAGAAAATTTATTGCAAATCTATAAAAATTAACAAAATTAAAGAAAAAAAAAGAGAAGATATGATAGGGATAGGTAGGAAGATTTGATATGAATAGATGGGAAAAGATGATTATATGATAACAAATTATTTGTAAAAATTGAAAAATGTTTAATGTTTGAAATCAAATAATATATTTGAATTGAGTAAAAAATTTCGTATCAATGATAAAATTTTTGTAAATGAAACAAAATAATTGGAAAGAGACATTGTAATGTAATTTATTTTCTAAAATGTTCTAATTAAATGATCAAAAGAAAAAAAAAAAAAAAAAGATCATTGTTTAATAGTGTTGCATGTTTAAATGAATATAGATTAATTAGTTTAATTTAATCGAAATAAATGAATCGATTCCAAAGAAATATATATGTATATAATACTTGAAATAAATAGATACAATATTTAAAATATGTAATGGAAAAAAAAATTTTTTTTTGAACAATTTCATTCCCAATGAAAAATAAAATGAATCATTAAATCAACATTTTTAATTTGAGTTGCAAAAATATGTAGGAAATTTTCGAATTTACTGAGAGAGAGACGAAAGAAAAAAAAAGGAATGTAAAAATTGACATCAATTTTCAAGGAATCTTAAATGAAAATGATATGATAAAATAAGAATATAAAAGTATAATTATATCAGTAGTGTATGATACAGTAAAATTACGATATATTACGGTAAAAGTATTGTATATCAATGAAATTGCAATAAGTTGGATCGATTACTTTTTTTTTATATAGAAATAATGAATAATTATTTTGATTTTTTTTTTAATTTTTTGAAAATGATTATGTTTGAAATCATGTTATTTCCATTTTCAGCTAATGTTTAAACATGATCATATTGATTGATCAGTTCATGGATGATCAAAATGTCAACATGATGATAAGTTTATGTTTGATTGATATAAAAATTCAATTAGCTATAAAACTTAAATTAACAACATTCATCATATTGTTTCGATAATATTTTAAGTCTTTTTTTTCAAAAAATTAAAAATTTCTTGATTCCAAAAAATGCCAATTAATTAATGCTCATTTTTTATAATTAATTAGCAATTAGATATTTCAATTTACGCTGCAAAAATATATAAAAAATTTTCGAATTTATCGAAAAAGAGACAAAAAAGTTATCCCTTCGTTGTTATGCAAAATTTTTAAAATTGTTACTAAATATTTCATTTATTTCAAAAACTTTATAAATGATTAAAAAGATGTTATATGATATGAGGTCATTAATATTGCTAGTATTTAAAATGTCACCAAGTTTTTTTTTTTTTTGTTAAATTTATAATTTTCATTCTGTAACAATTAAATCGACAATGCTATCTTTAAATATTATAAAATTTTAGAAATTAGACAACAAGAAATATCAAATTTAGTAATCATTTATATATATATATATACATGAGTAATGATTATAACTTTTAATAATATCAGGTAAAACATTGAAAACAGGTAAAAATGAATAGTATATACGATGAAGTGGAAATCAGCAAAACCGGATGATGTTATATTCAGTGAAAGATGACAATGTTTCCGGAAGAAATGACGGAAGAATGTCAATTGCAGAGAAAACGTTTCTTTTTATACAATTCTTGTCGAATTAAACTTTCAACTCCGCCTCTAAGTTTTTACTTTTTTTTTTTTTTTTTTTTTAAATTAAACCCCATATGATGATTGATCCGGTTTTCATGAAGTTAACCAGTTGTTATGCTTATTTTAAGAAGAAATGAAAGAAAAAAAGAAATTTCTTTTTTTTTTTTTTGTATACGAAGAGAAAATTTGGCGGAAACTGTTCAACCGTTCAACTTTTGAGTGCTATTGCATCTCTTCGTCCTTCACTCATATGCTTTTAATTTAACTAGCAATAACAACAACAACATTCATCATCGATTATCGATTATCGATTATCGGTTGTCGATTATCAGTTACTAATAATAATGCTTTTTTTTTCTCTCCCATATCCTTTTTATTTCAGCTAACAACAACAACAACAACAATAGCAATAACTATCATCGGTTATCGATTACTAATTACTGATAATACTATTGTTATCATTTTTATACATATCAATAATTATTTATTTTATTTCTGATATAATTTCATCAAAATAAATGTAATTGAATAGGTCTAAAATTAATAAAATTTCGTTATCATAAATAATGATAAGTATTTCATTTCCAATATGAATATGAATTAATGATAGAAACTATCTGTAGTGATTACATAATAATTTCCATTTCAAATAAATTTTTATGAAAAAAAAAAATTTTACAACACAAAATATGGGATGATGTGTTTAATTTGTAAATTTGGGCCTTTTTTTTTCTTTTTTTTTTGCAACTTAATGAATTGAAATGAAAGAATGAAGCAAACCTGTTATGGGAATTTGAAAAATTGTTCCGAATTTCAAATCATCCATCTTACTACAACAATTTCAATTTTCCCTTTCTTTCTCTTCCCTTCCTTTCCTTTTTCTCTCTCCTGTATTTGATACACTTTTGCCCTTCAACTTTATGACAAAACTTTCACTTTTCGTCTCTCTTCATTTTTTCCCCCTTCACTTTCCGCCTTTTCACTTTCCACCCCATCACTTTCAAATATCTTTTATCATACAATACATTGATAAACTGTCTCCCTTTTTTTTTTTTTTTGTCATTTTATGCAATTTTTTATTCAAAAAGAAAAAATTAATTTTATTCCAAATATAAAAGCCTTCCCAGTTTTTAACATATATTGTAGAATTTTAAATTTTTTTTTGAAAACTTTAATTTACAAAATATTTCTAAAATTTTAAACATCTCAAAATGTAAAAATTTCGAAACTTTTCTGTAAAATTAGTAGTTTGTAATGAAAATTGGAATTCCATGATATCACTGCACTCTAATTTTAATCTAATTTTAGTGTATTAATCATATCGTTTTGATCTTTTTATCATATTTTGTCATTTAGAACTATTCATTGTTTGTCGCTAATTTTATGATATCATATCAGTGATATGATATTGTTTGTTGCTAATTTTAGATCAGTGATTATGTTATCATTAAATTGAAACTATTCATTATTTGTCGCTAATTTTATGATTTCATATCACTGATATCCGTCATATGTTAAAAAACAGTTGTATTATAAGTGTTTTTATTTTTTTTTCTTTGTTAATTAATTTAATGATAACATTAAATAAAGATCAGCGAACAATGAAAGATCAATGATAATATCAATATCAAAAAAAAAAAAAAAAAAAACAAGATGACTTAAGCCAGGTGACATTATAAACAATACAAAAGTGAAATAAATTCGAATAAAATATCGTGGATACAATTTTTTTTTCAATACATAAATTCTTGAAAAAATTGAAAGCATTTGAAAGAATTGAATGGACTCTTGAAAGAAATATAAAATTAGTTTTGAATTTACGAATAAATTAAAATGCAATAAATAGCCATGAATATAAATACAACGATAAATGCACTTAATTATTGATTTGAGCAATTAATTCCAAATTAATGAATTAATTAGGCTATTAATAATTAATTACCAAAATCAAAAGCTAGCATAATAAATGCAACAATAGGTTCAATGATTGTAGATAATTGCTCAAAATTTATTGAAGAAAAATTTTTCTTACAGTAGCCATTTTAAGTTTGATTTAAAATGACAACAACTTGAGGTAACAATTTTCATAATTAATAATTAAATGGTGACAAAAGAGGAAATTGGCAGTAATTAATAATAAAAGAATCGAATAAATAATTTATTTAGATGAGACAACCATTTTGCTAATAAATGAATGAATGAAAGAAAATTCTAATTTGGAAAGAAATTTGATCAAATTTCTATTTAAATTTCGTAAAAATTTGCCTTAAAAATATATGCAAATTTGAAATTATTAAATTTCCAAACCGAATCACTAATTCTCTTTTAAGCCTAATTTTAATTAAAAGAAAAAATTTGCTTTTTATACTTATAAATTGCTTGGCTCAGTTTCGTACGATATCACAGAAGAAATTTTTTTTAAATGTTGTAACCATAAATTACTGTATCATCGATTGGCAATAATGGTACCATTGAACCAATTAGGATAGCATAGGCTTTTTAACGTGGACGAGTCTGAAATATAGGCTTCAGTGTAAGTACCATTAGCATAAATTAAAATTTTGAACTGGTAGAAAAACGTGTGCAATATTTGGAAGATTTAAATATGGTTTTATGCATTTTTATTCATATATTGCCAATATTATTATTATTATTTATTATTTGTTATTTATTATTTATTATTTGTTATTTATTATTTATTATTTGTTATTTATTATTTGTTACTTATTATTTGTTATTTATTATTTATCTATCTATTATTTATTATTTACTGTTTATTATTTATTATTTATTATTCGTTACTTATTATTTGTTATTTATTATTTATTATCTATTATTTATTATTTACTGTTTATTATTTATTATTTATTATTTGTT